TTGAAAATTATAATATATTAAAAATATTTTAATTACAAAATCTATTTATTATAATACATTTTAACATGAACGGATTTTTTGCTTTTTGCATAATTTATGTAATATTTTCCTTTTATAAATATTAATTTAAATATAAATATTAATTAGTTTATAATTATAATATGGTAGAATAGTTTCTCCTTGCTTCTTTTTTATCATGAAAGCATAAAATAGTGCATGCTTGCATTGAGTGGCTTACCTAGCATGGTACTACCTGGTGTTCCTGGTAGGTATCTTTATTTTTCTCACAGCCAATGACACCTGCTATAACGGGAGTTGAAGAACAAGAAAAACTACTTGAGGATGCAATTGGTGTAGTCAAAGTGCAGGCTTTCCAAATGAAACATTGTCTGGACAAATCCAAATTGATGGATGCATTAAAACATGCATCTACGATGTTAGGAGAACTTAGAACTTCTCTTTTAAGTCCAAAGAGTTATTATGAATTATGTATCCTTAATTAAAAAAAAAAAACTATATAAGTTTTATAAAATATTTTTAATAATTTTTTTTATAATAAATTTTATAATAAATTTTTTCTTACATATAATTTTAGATATGGCAATTACTGATGAATTAAGACATTTAGAACTTTATTTATTAGATGAATTTCAAAAAGGAAGAAAAGTTACAGATTTATATGAATTAGTACAATATGTTGGAAATATTGTGCCTAGATTGTAAGTTTATTATAAATATATGATAATATGTATATATTTTTCTTGTAATATTTAATATTGTTTTTTTAGGTATTTACTTATCACAGTAGGATTAGTATATATCAAAACAACACCTGGCTTAAAAAGGGATCTATTAAGAGATTTAGTAGAAATGTGTAGAGGTGTTCAACATCCTTTAAGAGGTCTTTTCTTAAGAAATTACTTGTTACAATGTACCCGTAATATTTTACCAGATGTTGCTGAAGAAGATGATGAAGATGGAAATGTATATCTAGAAATGAACAATATATAAAAAGATCAAGTTTATATTTTGTATTTTTTTTTAGGTCCGTGACAGTATAGATTTTGTCTTGATGAATTTCGCAGAAATGAATAAATTATGGGTACGCATGCAGCATCAAGGTCATACTAGAGACAGAGAAAGAAGAGAAAGAGAAAGAGAAGAACTTAGAATTTTAGTAGGAACTAATCTTGTACGACTAAGTCAGTTAGAATCAGTTACTTTAGAGAAATATAAAAAGGTTAATCTTAATATATTTAGTTTATTAAAATTTTGCAGAATAATTACCTAATAATAATCATTTTTAGCTTGTCTTACCAGGAATTTTAGAACAAGTAGTCAGTTGCAGAGATGCAATCGCTCAGGAATATCTTATGGAATGCATAATTCAAGTAAATGAAAGATAAATTTTTTAATTTATAAATATTTAAAATTGTAATAAAAGAAATTATTATTAATAATATATTCATATTTTTATTTAGGTTTTTCCTGATGAATTTCATCTACAAACATTAAATGCATTTTTAAAGTCTTGTGCTGAATTACAAAATGGTGTGAATGTAAAAAACATAATTATTTCGTTAATAGATCGTCTTGCAGCATTTAGTCAAAGATCAGATGGTGTAGGAGGGCCAGGAAGTCCTAATCAAGTACCAGGAATTCCACAAGATGTAAAACTTTTTGATGTTTTCAGTGATCAAATAGCTATAATTATACAAGTTAGTATGATTTATAAGAAAAAAAAAAAAAAGAATGTATATTATTAACTCAATTTTATTTAATTTATTTTTATGATGATCAGATACTGCACAAATTTGATAATAACGTGATTGATACTTATTAATATTCAAGTTATCCTTACTTATATAGTTTAAGTCTGAAAATTTTTCTTTATAAATTATTATTAAATTTTTAATTATTTTTAATTGTTATTATATTTGATTATTATTTACAGACAAGACAAGACATGCCTCCCGAAGATATAGTTTCTCTTCAAGTAGCTCTTATTAATTTAGCACATAAGTGTTATCCTGACAGAGTAAACTATGTGGATAAAGTTTTATTAACGACTGTTCAAATATTCCAAAAACAGAATGTAGATAAGTATGTGTAATATAATATGAAGTATAAGTTTTTATACATAGATAAATATATAATAAATTTAATAAATTTTTTAGACTTGAATATAATAGTGCTGTATCAAGAGAGTTAGTGAGACTAATGAAAATTCCAATAGATAATTATAAAAACATATTAACTGCCTTAAAACTTGAACATTTTGCCCCACTACTTGATTATTTTGATTATGAAGGCAGAAAGTTGTTAGCTATTTATATAATAACAAATATTTTAGAAAATGAAACTTTAATACCAACTCTAGAACAAGTAGATGCAGTTCTTTCTATGGTGTCTCCATTGGTACAAGACCAACTAGATCAACCAAATATAGAAGAAGATCCTGAAGATTTTGCAGAAGAACAAGGTCTTCTTGGTAGACTGATTCATCACTTTAAGTCTGAAACAGCTGATCAGCAATACATGATATTAAGTGCTGCTAGAAAACATTTTAGTGCAGGTGGAAATAAAAGAATAAAATATACTTTACCACCAATTGTTTTTCAAGCTTATCAACTAGCTTATACATATAAAGGATTGAAGGATCAAGTTAGTAAATTATTAATTTCTTGTTATAATTTTCAAAGAGTTGATTCGGTTATTTTTCTTTGTTATAGGATGAAATGTGGCAAAAAAAATGTCAAAAAATCTTTCAATTTTGTCATGCAACTATTACAGCTTTAATGAAGGCTGAACTAGCTGAATTGCCATTGAGATTATTTCTACAAGGTGCAATAGCAATAGGTGAAATTCGTTTCGATAATTTTGAGATGGTTGCTTATGAATTTATGAGTCAAGCATTTTCAATATATGAAGATGAAATAAGTGATTCTAAGGCACAATTAGCAGCTATTACATTAATCATTGCAACATTCGAACAAATGAGTTGTTTTTGTGAAGAAAATGCAGAACCAATACGCAACCAGTGTGTTTTATATGCTAGTAAATTATTAAGAAAACCAGATCAATGTAGAGGTATCGCTACCTGCTCTCATATATTTTGGTCAGGAAAATCGTTAGCAACTGGCGGAAAAGAGGTGAATGCCATTCCTTTTTTTTCCTTTTATTTAAATATCATTATATATATTATAATAAAATTATTTAAAAATATATTAATTTATATATTTTTTTAAGATGCAAAATGGATATAAAGTATTGGATTGTTTGAGAAAAGGTATCAGAATAGCAAGTCAATGTATGGATACTTCAGTTCAAGTACAACTTTATGTGGAATTATTAAATCATTACATCTATTTCTATGAAAAAGGCAATACTATGGTAAGAATTATATTTCTATTAATATGTATATAAATTAATATTCATTTTTTTTTTTTTAGTTTACTGTCGATATTATAAATCAAGTAATAGCAAAAATTAAAGAAGAACTTCCCAATTTAGAAGTTAGCGAAGAAACGGAACAAATTCAAAAACATTTAGCTAATACATTAGAACATTTAAGAAATAGAATGGAATCTCCAGAAGCTGATGGTGTATCATATCAAGGACTTGTTCTCTAATGTAATTATTGTAAGCAACAATTTTGTACATAAAGCAATCGCCAATTATTTTATGAAATTAATATAAATTTTAAAAAAACGCTTATTAGATATAAATTATCATAATTTAAATCACATTAATTTACATGTAAAATTAAATTGTTAATAATGTATTATATATTATTTGTTGAGTATGTAATTCGTAAAATATAATTTTTATATTTGTTTTGACAGAAATTGTATTAATATTGTTGATTTTTTAATTCAAAAATTAAAAAATATAATTCAATATCTAGGAAATGTTTCAATTTCACTATATTTAATGAAAAATAAAGGAAGTAGAATAGAGATGAAGAGAAAAAATAAAAATTCGGGAATCAATACCATTTCTAGAGATATTATAGAGAAAATAATTAAAAAAAAAGAACGGAGAAAAATATTAAAATTAGTGCCATTTCTAGATTGTCGAATACATAAAGTAATGAAATACATAAAAAAGAAACAGCATATAAGAAAATGAGAAAAAAATAAAGATAGAATAGGAAGAATTGATTAGTGCCATCTTTTGAATATTTTTAAAAAGATGTTTTTTTTAGTAATCAAATAATGGCGCTATTCTTCAATTCTTTATCTTATTTTTAAAAAGATCTTTTTTGGTATTTAAAAGATGGCGCTGATTCCCCAATTTTTACATTATCTCTGTTCTTTTTTTCTTCTCTTTGCCTATATTTCTTCTAAAATTTATACACTCAATAAATAGTTCCGATATCTGATTAATTTTGTTTTCTTTGTGAAATCTACTAATTAAAAATCTTAACAAATTATTTAATTCAATTTTCGTATGCAAGTATATATATATATATTTACCTTTGTATATCTTATGTTTATTTTATATTTATATTTACATTTTCATATATCAAAGAATATATTTTATATATATATAAATTTTTTATTTATATATCATAAAGAATTTTTTTTTTATATATAAATTAATAACTTTTCTATATACGTGTAAAGAATATATATTTTTTTGATTTTCAGTCTGTCCATTAGAAGAAAGGCCGATGTATGAAATCCCTAGAAATTTATAGTGTTCTTCATCTGTCACTCCATCTACAGCAATCCTTATTCTGTATTAGTATGTAAGTCTTTACTCCGTAAAACTGCACAAGCACAATTTTGTCAATGATATCATATATGGATTAACAGCTTTATGAAAATGTGGTAAGTCGATTAATGCAAAATACCACTAGTTATATTTCCCGGACATAGATTTGTTTACAAACACTATAGTGACATAACCTCAATTCAGACATTTAACCTGTTAACATAAATATTATATATATACACATAGTTTGTCAATATAATTTATTACTATTCATTTTGAAGATGCACTTATCAGGAAATGGCACGATGGTCAACTGTATTATCTGGGGTATTCCTGGCCCTTACTATGATTTTATCCCTTGGCAAACTTTTGATGCTTGTCACCGGAAATGCAAACAACGGAGATCTCACCGAAGCAGATCAATGGCTTGCCGAAATTGGACTGAAACAATATCGACCTCTCTTCAAAAAGAAAGGTCAGAATTCCCTTAGTTATTTTTCTAATTCCATTATTTTATTACTCTTATATTACGCATTACATAATTATCAAATATCAATTTATATAAATGTTTATAAATAAACGAATTTTTCAATTTGTAAACAATTTACGATAAAGGATAAAATAATCAATTTTAATACATTACTCATTCTATTTGGCGACTTTCTAAAACGATTACTATATTGCACAATAGATTCATTATTCAAACTTGAAATTCATTGTTAAGCATGTATTATCGATTGATCGTTAAATTACGGGTCTTTGTACGATAATGTGAATTTAACGAGCCTTTGCAAACGTTATTCATTACTGTATCAAGAATTGTAATGCTTCGGAATTCATTACCATTTCAAAGAGTTATGTAAGAGCAATTTAAACTCCTGTGTTATGTGTAATTAATTTTGCAATATTTTTCTTTATGTATTTATGTATCTGAAAAATTATGAAAAATATTTATAAAGATCTATTATATAAAAAATAGAGAAATTTTTTTATATAAAGCTTTAAAATGTTGAATGAAAAAAAAAAGATTGAATAGAAAAAGAAAATATTATAAGATATGCGCAAAATTGTACTTCAGTTTTTATCGTAGCTTGTTCCCCCGCATGTTTTTCTTATTAGATTCAAAAACCAAAGCGAAGCAAGCTGATAAATCTGCGTCAGTGTCCAAACTTTTATCATCTTGGCCCTGGCTGATGCCAAGGATATAAGCGCTTGCGCGAATGTTCCTTCGGAGTTAGGCTTTTATATCTCGGTATTGGTGGAATGAACGAATGGATACGAAGTTCCCAGCTGCGGCAATGTCACTGCGCGCTGTTTGCACTTGAGCCAATGGGGTGGGGACACTGCCCCTGCTCTCACCCTTTTCGAGAGCAAACGTTTTGTATGTACACAATCACCTTTATTGTTTTTTAATCTATCCATCACTGAACATTTACGATTGGTCCTAAAACACTCGTATATTGGCAATAAATTTTAATGATCCAATACTTTTATATTCGAATAATCGTACCTTTATCCTTGCTATATCAAGTTTGTCAATTTAAACGAAATTGTGCTACAAATCATCTAAATAATAACTGATCGATTATATATTGTTATAATAATATTTCGTTCATTTCGTGTAAATTTTATATTACATAAATAGATTTATCATCGGTATTTATTTTATACTAATTTTTCGCGTTGATTTAATCATTTTTAGCATGGTAAAAAAATAAAAAAATCCTTTAGAAGCTTTGATTTCCGTTGACACGGCAGAAAACAAGATTCTTTTGTCGAGAGTGAACTAATGATCCAATCAGCAAGTAACTGCCCTCAATAATTACTACATCCTATCCGAATTTCTTATCGATTATCAAAGTAGATCGTCAAAGATTAAATATGACTACTCGTCGAGAGCGCTCACGCGAACATTTCTTTACGATTGAACGATGAGTACGCTGCAATTACTGGAAAAATTCAAGGCAATGTTAGGACCAATGACAAACTCGAGTCCGTTCAAAAGTACCATCGAAAATTTTTTTTTTTCTTTTTTTTTTAATTTTTAAACCAAATTAATCTATTGCAGTAGGAAGAAAATGAATCGCCCTGTCTTATATTTGGAACGATTCCATAAAACGTAATGGAAAATCAACCCCTTTCTCCCTCTATCTCTTTCATTGATTTTCAATTTTTCCCAAAGATGCAGATTTTTTTAGAAACGAGATCTTTCGAAGATCTACAAGAAATAGAATTTCATAAGAGGGAGGGGAGAGGAAAATAAAGGAGTAGAATTTCGTTTCGTAAAAATGATGGACAACGAGAAAAAGAAAGAGGGAGAAAGCGTGATGGCGCGATTAAACCGGTAGCAGAGACATAAACGAAATGTTGGACGATTTTGGAAGAAAAGGAAGAAAGCGAAGGATCGGTTTGGTTGGCGTGGTCTTCGTAGCGTGGGTTGGGTGGGAGTAGTGAACGGGTGGCAGAGGGTGGCTCTGTCCGTGTAATCGTATCGTATGCAGTCGTCTAGCGTGAGTCCGCGCGAGTGGATCGCGGAGTCGCATCGCTCTCGGTT